TTATACCCCAGCAGCAACAAACACACCTAGCATTCAATCGTGATTTTTAAACACCATTTCCACTCAACAGAACTAGGGTCAAGTGGGCCTGAGAACTGACTAGTTCTCAGACATCCTTTTAGTGGGAAATTTAGAAAGCAATTGAAGGAACAGCTAAATCTAAGTCTGGGACAGAAAATATACAAGAGGGGCCTAGACATCTTGATGTTGTCAGAAAGTGAGGAAACTACCAAAAACTAACTTTAAAAGGACATAGAAGCCAGCCTAAACAGGCTCTCATGGGCAAACAAACAAATAGACAAACCAAAATAACATAGAAAGGATACAAAAGGTAAAAAATGTAATTATTTAAAATTAAAAAAAAAAAATCTCATTGAATACCCTGAAAGTAACTTGGCCACCAACATCTTACTATGAAAATTAAAAGAATTAAACCTTTATTCTACATTTCCTGTATTTCTTTATGATCCGTATTTATTTATTTATTTATTTTTTGAGACAGAGTCTCGCTCCGTCGCCAGGTGCCAGGCTGGGGTGCAGCGGCGCGATCTCGGCTCACTGCAACCTCCATCTCCCGGGTTCAAGCAATTCTCCTGCCTCAGCCTCCCGAGTAGCTGGGACTACAGGCGTGTGCCACCACGCCCAGCTCATTTTTGTATTTTTAGTAGAGATGGGGTTTCACCATGTTGGCCAGGATGGTCTCCATCTCTTGTCCTCATGATCTACCCGACTCAGCTTCCCAAAGTGCTGGGATTACAGGCGCCGGCCTATTTTTATTTTATTTTATTTTTGAGATGGAGTCTTGCTCTGTTGCCCAGGCTGGAGTACAATGGCACCATCTCGGCTCCCTGTAACCTCCGCCTCCCAGGGTCAAGGATTCTCCTGCCTCAGCCTCTTGAGTAGCTGGGATTACAGGCACGTGCCACCATGCCTGTCTAATTTTTGTATTTTTAGTAGAGACAGGGTTTCACCATGTTGGTCAGGCTGGTCTCAAACTCCTGACCTCGTGATCCACCCGCCTCAGCCTCCCAAAGTGCTGGGATTACAGGCATGAGCCACTGCGATCTGTATTTCAAGGCTACTAAATAATTTGTTGATGAGGAAAAGCTTTTTGTTTGTTTTTTGAGACACAGTCTTGCTCTGTCACCTATGCTGGATCTTGGTCCACTATAACCTCTACCTCCCAGGCTCAAGCAATCCTCCCACCTCAGCCTCCCGAACAGCTGGGACTACAGGTGTGCAAAACCTTGCCTGGTTAATTCACCACATTGCCCAGGCTGGTCTCAAACTCCTGGGCTCAAGTAATCTGCCTGCCTCAGCCTCTCGAAGTACTGGGATTACAGGTATAAGCCACTGTGCCCGGCAGGAAATCTTTATAGAAGCATTTCAGTTCATCAAATACATAGGTAATAATACAACTGAGAAACTGGGTGGGCGTGGTGGCTCATACCTATAATTCCAGAATTTTGGGAGGCATACGCAGATGGATCACCTCAGGTCAGGTGTTCAAGACCAGCCTGGCCAACATGGTAAAAACACATCTCTACTAAAAATAACCAAAAATTAGCCACTACAGGTGGCACACGCCTATAGTCCTAGCTACTTGGGATGCTGAGGCAGAAGAATCCTTTGAACTCGGGAGGCGGAGGTTATAGTGAGTCAAGATCGTGCCACTGCTCTCTAGACTAGGCGACAGAGCAAGACTCTGGCTGGAAGTAAATAAATAAATAAAGATAGAACTGGAACATCACCATTTGTGGCTGGGCATGGTGGGTCATGGCTATAATCCTAACACTCTGGAAGGCTGAAGTAGGAGGATTACTTGAGCCCAGTAGTTTGAGACCGGTTTAGGTAAGATGATGAGACCTGGTTTATACAAAAATTTAAAAAAAAAAAAAAAAAAAAATCAGTGATAAGTGGCGCTGCATGCCTGTAGCTGTTTGGATAGCTAAAGCGGCAGGATCCCAGGAGCCCAGGAATTCAAGTGGCGGTGAGCTGTGATCACACCACTGCACTCCAGCCTGGGCCACAGAAAGATCCTATCTCTATAAAAAAAATAAATAAAATTTTAAAAATTAGCCAAAACATGGGCCACATAGCAAGACCTTGTCTCTATTAAAAATTTAAAATTTAGCCAGGCATGGTGGTGCAATGCCTGAAGTGTCAGCTACTCAGGAGGCTGAGGCAGGAGGATCACTTGAGCCAGGAGTGCAAGGCTGCAGTGAGTCATGATGGTCCACTGTATTCCAGCTGAGTGACAGAGGGAGACCCTGTCTCAAAAACCAAAAAATTAAGGTATGGTGGCAAATGACTATAATTCCAGCTACTCAGGAGGCTGAGGCAGGAGGATGCTTAATCCAAGGAGGTCAAGCCTGCAGTCAGTTGTGATTGTGCCACTGTACTCCAGCCTAAGTGACAAGAGTGAGATCCTGTCTCAATTAAAAAAAAAAAAAAAAAAAGCAGCAGCAAATCACCATTTGCTGTATCAACTAAAATGATAAATTCAGGCTATGATCATCCATGGATAAAATCACTTGACAAAAAAGAACTTTACAACTGAAGGAACCTTACTGAACCCAGTGATCACATTAGCATTACTAAAAATAGGAGAGTCAGACATCCTGTTTCTCCTGATGGGAGGCAATACACAGTTTACAGTAACACCGAAAAAGCTAAAAAAGTTGTACCCAAATCTAGTCAAGGCATTTAAAGCTAACCTCCACTTAACAAAATAATGAGGCCGGGCGCGGTGGCTCAAGCCTGTAATCCCAGCACTTTGGGAGGCCGAGGCGGGTGGATCACGAGGTCAAGAGATCGAGATCATCCTGGTCAACATGGTGAAACCCCGTCTCTACTAAAAATACGAAAAAAAAAAAAAAAAAAAAAACTTGCATGGTGGCAAGTGCCTGTAATCCCAGCTACTCAGGAGGCTGAGGCAGGAGAACTGCCTGAACCCAGGAGGTGGAGGTTGCGGTAAGCTGAGATTGCGCCATTGCACTCCAGTCTGGGTAACAAGAGCGAAACTCCATCTCAAAAAAATAAAACAAAAACAAAAACAAAAAACACACAAAATAATGAAAACAACACAACAAATTAAATAAGAGGTTTCCTGACTCTCAGCCAGTGAATAAATCTTTCCACTATACCACTCCTAACCTCTCTGACCGTCAGAACACAACAGAAGCTACAACTGATTTTCAAAAGGCACCGATGGGCCAGGTGTGGTGGTTCACGCCTGTAATCCCAGCACTTTGGGAGGCTGAGGCGGGGGGATCACAAGGTAAGGAGATGGAGACCATCCTGGCTAACACGTGAAACCCTTCTCTACTAAAAATGCAAAAAGTTTGCTGGGTGGCATGCGCCTGTAGTCCCAACTACTCAGGAGGCTGAGGTAGGAGAACTGCTTGAACCCGGGAGGCAGAGGTTGCAGTGAGCTGAGACACCACCACTGCACTCCAGCCTGGGCAACAGAGCAAGACTCCGTCCCTGCACCCCTACCCCCCACCGCAAAAAAAAAAAAGGCACTGATATAGTTTGGATTATTTGTCCCCTCCAAATCTCATGTTGAAATGTGATCCCCAATGATGGAGGTGAAGCCTAGTGGGAGGTGTTTTGGTCATGGGTGGCTTGGTACCCTCCTGATATGGTTTGGCTGTGACCCCACCCAAATCTCATCTTGAATTATAGCTCCCATAATTCTCATGTGTTGTGGGAGGGACCCAGTGGGAAATAACTGAATCATGGGGGCGGATTTTACTACTATTCTCATGGTAGTAAATCTCATGAGATCTGATGGTTTTATAAGGGGAGACCCCTTTTGCTTGGTTCTGATAAGAAGTGCCTTTCATGTTCCACTATGATTGTGAAGACTCCCTAGCCATGAGGAACTATGAGTCCATTAAACCTCTCTTTCTTTATAAATTATCCAGTCTCAGGTATGTCTTTATCAGCAGCATGAAAATGGACTAATACGCCTCCCCACAGTCATGAGTGAAGTAGTTGTTAATGCACACAAGAGCTGCTTGTTTAAAGGAGCCTGGCACCTCCTCCTTTCTCTCTTGCTCCTTCGCTCACCATATGACACACCTGTTCCCCTTTTGCTTTCTGCCCTGAGTAAAACCCTCCTGAGGCCTCACCAGAAGTCAAACAGATGCAGGTGTCATGTTTATACAGCCTGAAGAACTGTGAGCCAAATATAAATTACCAAGTCTTATGTATTCCTTTACAGCAACACAAAACAAATGAACACAGGCACCTTTCTTCAACCAAAGCATTCAGAAACCTTCTTAATTTTTTTTTTTTGTCTGCTCCCAGACTAGAACTAAGCAGCCAAAGTGAATGCTTAGCACACTCTCAGGGAAGCACAGCTCTGTCTTGCACCAGTGCCAGACGCCACCAGAACAGTGGTGGAGGCAACCAGATGAAGACAAGACATTACTCTCCCAGCAGTGTAACACCATCACAGGAACGGTTCTGTCCGGACGGCTGACTACTGCTGGAAAGAAACCTGCTCAATTTTAAATCTGCCAGCCACTTTTTAAAGTTGCTGGATCTCACAATGCTAAGTATAAACAGTTACTTTTTTTTTTTTTTTTTTTAAGATGTGGTTTCACCATGATGGCCAGGCTGGTCTTGAACTCCTGACCTCAGGTGATCCACCCACCTCGGCTTCCCAAAGTGCTAGGGTTGCCACTGTGCCCGGCCCTAAACAGTTACTTTTTTGATCTGTGTCTGAAAAAGTACATGCAAGCTTAATTTTATAAATCAAACTGTATTTACTTAAAAAGGCAGGGTAATAGCAGAATCTAAAGAGAATCTTACTGAGACTTAGGTAAGGTGAATGGCTTAAGTACCAAATTTATTTCTGCTCTTCAGATCATGTTTGTATTCAGCAGCTTGCCCTTGTCATGTGTTAAAATGGTCATAAAATGCTAAGAAAAAGTCACAGCAAACTCTGACTTCCCGATCATACTGATGGGAAAGGTCACAAACATAGTCACCTCAAAGACTGAGTGCTGTAGAACAGACCTTCCTCTTCAAGGCCAATGATACTTCAGATACCAGATGGTTTCATTTTTCAGCTGTGGTCCAAAGAGAGGGTTGAGTTGGGCCAGAATTGCAATTAGCCAACTAAAAGAAAGATGGGAGAGGAACAACAATAAAGCGGTGAAATCATGTTGGAACATGACCATTTTTAATTAGCATGGAAAAAGTGTACTAGCGAAACTTAAATCTATTCCATTCATACCAAACCTTCCACGTGCCTTGTGCTAACAGCAGCACGTCTGATAACAAAGCATTTCCCAGGACGTAGCCTGCCTTCATCTTGAGACATATTACAAGGCAGTGAGGCTTCATCACAGTATGTTTCTGTCTTTTCTCTCATTACCTGATTATCTTTCCAAATATCCAAGATTTCCTGAATTCATGATGTCTTTGCTTCAAAATATTTTCACCTAATCTGAATTTATCATCAAAATAACATCCAACCTCAGGAAAATCGGTCTTATTTTATCCATTCTCCAAATGTTAAGACCCACAACCTATATGACAAGCTCATTTTTACTGGTAAAGGAAAGGTTTGATTTCAGCTTATCATCTTCCAATAAGACTATAACATGTAAGATGCCCTTCTCTAATCCCCATCACCACTAAAATATGTAACACATTCTATTGTGGAACTTAACAAAATGGGCATTTCCCTTGCCCCCAGTTTACTTCAGAATCTAAATAACAAGGTATTGCTCTGTAGGTACTGCTCTGTAACACTTGAGCAGACTAACTATAAAGTGAGTACAATGGTGTCATATCTTACTTCAGGGCTAAAAGTGAAAAATAGGTTGGGTGCAGTGGCTCATGTCTTTAATCCCAGCACTTTGAAAGGATGAGGATCAGTCGAAGCCAGGAGTTTATGACCAGGTTAGGCAACACAGTAAGAACCTGTCTCTACAAAAAATTTTTAAAAATAAGCCAGGTTTGCTGACTTGTACCTGTAGTCACAGCTACTCAGGAGGCTAAGGTAGGAGGATCCCTTGAGACTGGGAGTTCAAGGCTGGAGTGCTATAATTATATAACTGCACTCTAGCCTGGGTGACAGAGTTAAACCCTGTCTCTAAAAAAAAAAAAAAAAGAAAAATAGCATAGGTTTATCTTTAAATTTTCTTATATTACAAAGTTCTACATAAAGGGTCTTATATATGATATGGTAATTCATATGCCAAATAAAGTTTGAGCTTAGACAAAAGCAAAGAACAAAAGACAATATGCAAAGATCTGGGTATTCAAACCATTCTTCACTTACTAAAGGAATATTTAATGAGCACCTACTAAGTTCCAGGCCTCAGAAATACAGTGAAGAAAAATGAAATGTCCCCATCCTCACAGAGCTTACATAATATAATGTCAGGTGATAACTGTTACGAAGGAAATCAAGCAGGGAGAAGGAACAGAGAATGGCTTGTGGGGGCATTACTTTGACAGGGTGGTCAGGGAAGTAGGTAACACTTGAGCAGACAGGGGAATGAAAGCAGAATACATACTGCCTTTAGTTCCTACTCAAAATACAGTTGACCCTGAAACAGCATGGGTTTGAACCATGCACATTGACTTGGATGCCTGGGTCTGCTTATATGCCCACCTCTCACCTCTCCTGCTTCCACCTCCCCTTCCACCTCCTCCACCCCTTCTTCTGCCTCTACCACACGAAGACAGCAGGACCAACCCCTCTTCTTCCTCTTCCTCCTCAGCCTACTCAGTATGAAGACAACAAGGATGAAGACCTTTATGATGATCCACTTCTACTTAATAAATAGTAAATATATTTTCTCTGCCTTATGATTTTCTTAACATTTTCTTTTCTCTACCTTCCTTTATTATAGGAACAAAGGATATAATACATATAAAAACTATGTGTTAATTGACTGTTTATGTTATTGGTAAAGCCCTTGATCAATAGTAGGCTATCAGTAGTTAAATCTGGGAGAATTTAAAAAGTTATAAATGGATTTTCAACTGTGCAGGGGATGGGAACCTCGAATCTCCACATTATTCAAAGGTCTACTGTGTATGAATTTGAACTTCTCTCACTGGCGGGCAGTGGTGCGGGAAGGAGGGCAGGGTTAAGGTAAACAAGCCCAACCAACCTCCAACTACCGATCTGGGAAAGTGAAATTTGGTAAAATATATTGCATTCCTTTCTTTTTTTTTCCTTGAGATGGCGTCTCACTCTGTCGCCCAGGCTGAAGTGCAGTGGCACGATCTCAGTTCACTGCAAACTCCGCCTCCTGGGGTCCAGCGATTCTCCTGCCTCAGCCTCCTGAGTAGCTGGGATTACAGGTGCCTGTCACCATGACTGGCTAATTTTTTGTATTTTTAGTAGAGGTGGGGTTTCACCGTCTTGGCCAGGCTGGTCTTGAACTCCTGACCTCAGGTGATCCACCCGCCTTGGCCTCCCAAAGTGCTGGGATTACAGGCATGAGCCACTGTACCCAGCCCATACTGCTGTCCTTTCTGCATGGAATCTAGGGAATCAGTTTCTTTTCCTTCCTTCCCTCCCTCCTTCTGTCCCTCCCCCCTTCTCTCTCTTTCTTCTGAAATGGAGTCTTACTGTTGCCCAGGCTGGAGTGCAGTGGCGCAATCTTGGCTCACGACAACCTCCGCTTTCCGGGTTCAAGTCATTCTCCTGCCTCAGCCTCCCGAGCAGCTGGGCCACCATGCCTGGCTAATTTTTGTATTTTTGTAGAGACAGGGTTTCACTATGTTGGCCAGGCTGGTCTTAAACTCCTGACCTCGTGATCTGCCTGCCTTGGTCTCCCAAAGTGCTGGGATTACAGGCGTGAGCCACCGTGCCTGACTGGGAATCGCTTTCTAAGGAAAAGTAGATATATCACTACAGCAGTCTCCTTTTAAACTTTCAGGACTTTAAATCTCCCCATAAGAGGGGAACGAGTCAAACCTCAACTAGGTCATTATCTGGGTGGATCTCTTTTCTCCCATTTGCAGTCATTTTTAGAGCTTTTCCAATCAAAGGATCAAAAGACTGATTCTGATCACCAGTGGAGAGACTGCTGGAGAATTAGCCAGCACTGCATCAGAAGTTTGTGCCTACAGAAACGAAAGGTGATTTTGTGACAGGAAACATGACACCTGAGGAAACCAGGCCAAAATAGCTCAAGCTCACTACTTAATAAACAAAAAGTTCATTCAGATGAGATTCTCTGATCCATACTCAGAACTAGGGTATTAAACAAAAACATAATACCAAGACTTGTAGTTGAGGTTTAACATCCATCTGACATTACAAAAAAAGGAGGAGGAGAACGGCACAGGCAGACACACTCAAGAGCTCTGTGACTGCAGTTGACGCTAATGGTGCAGAGCTAAGAGTCATGGAAAATTCCAAACTAACCGAGGACTTCCCCAATCCCAGCAGGCAATACAAGCTGCCTGAAAAAACACTTTTGTAAGAGACTGAGACAACTGGCCAATGCTTAGAAATACTAAATAAAAAATACATTAGAATTTGAACTAGCCCGTCTCCTTTCATAGCTAATATGTAACAGAGAATGATAACACCACTTCCCAGCTCTTTGTAGGATGTTGTATGAGTGATTTTCTTCCCCAGCTGCAAATTATAATCATTCAGGGAACTTTTAAAATATACTGATGCTATTTCTGAGAGTGAAAAAACACTGACTCCTTTTCCTCTGCTTTCACACCACAATAATCAACACAGAAGACTTCTACAGCCAAACCTGTGGGGATTTCTCCCCACCAACAAGCACACAATCAATTCTGCAGCGAACACCAGCTGGGTGTCCTCCAATTCAATCCTGACACTATCTATCTGGAGATAGCATCAGATCTCACAGGGTGAGTGTTTGGTTCCACAAGACTGCCCCTCACTTCTGATGGCAATCACAAGCCCCAGGTTATTCTACCCAACAGGCTATAAACCGGGGAGGCCCCAACCCTCCTTAGGTTCAATTATTTGCTAGAGCAGGTCACAGAACTCAGGGAAACATGTTTTTCTGGTTTACCATAAAAGATATTACAGTCTGGGCATGGTGGCTCACACCTGGTAATCCCAGCACTTTGGGAGGCCAAGGCAGGTGGATCACTTGAGCCCAGGAGTTCAAGAGCAGCCTGGCCAACATGGTGAAACCCCATCTCTACTAAAAATACAAAAACTAGCCAGGCATGGTGGTCCGTGGTCCCTGCTACTTGGGAGGCTGAAGCAAGAGAATCACTTGAACCTGGGAGGCAGAGGTTGCAATGAGCCAGAATTGCACCACTGCACTTTAACCTGGGTGACAGAGTGAGACTCTGTCTCAAACAAACAAACAAAGATAGTACAGAAGATACAGATGAAGGGATCTACAGGGTGAGCTATGGAAAGGGGCACAAAGTTCTCATGCCCTTCCTGGGAACACCACCCTCCAGGAATAGCTTCTAGCTTTCCTGAACCTCTCAGAACTCAGTCTTTTTGGGTTTTTATGGAACCTTCATTGTGTAGGCATGATTGATTACATCACTGGCCATTGGTGATCAGTTTAATGTTTGGCCCCTGACTCTTCCCCCGAGGTTGGGCTGTGGGCTGAAACCTTTGACTCTAATCCTTCCTTGGTTGTCTCATGATCAGATCCCTCCTGGAGCTACCAAGGGGCTGCCAATCATCAGTCAACTCATTAGTATACAAAGAAATATATGACTTCGGAGATTCTGAGGATTTTAGGAGCTGTATACCAGGAAATGAGGACAAAGACTAAATTATATTTCACAACATCACAACTTCACATATAACCTTTCATTTAATTCTTGTACCAGGAAACAGGCAGAGAAAGGCTAAGTGATTGGCCTATGGTCACAATGCTATTAGGTAGTAGTAGATCCTAGACCAGGAATCAGATCAGATTAATGTTCCCACTTCAAAAAGTGACCTTCTGGAATATCTGAACTGAGAACATTTCAGAAGGCATGAATATAGTTAAATCTATATTGAGAATTCAGGAAATGAGAGTCCATCCACTTAGCATCGACAAGCCTTTGGTACCTTCGCTAAAGAATATCCAGAAGCAAGAATGAAGACCACTTTGCTTGCTCAGGTCAGTATTTAGAAACTTTTATTCTCT